GGTATGGGGGTGTTGGTGGGGTTATTGGAGGCTATGAACTCCCGGGATTTTTACTTTTCGCGGCGTGCCAACAACTGGTAAGTGCCAACCAGCTGACCGGTCAGCCAGTCGGCAGCCAACCAATCAACGGGCGCCGACCGTCAGCTGTGCACCTCTGGCAGGAAATCAGAATTAAAAATCGCCGAAGTCGGGGTCCTCGAAATTTAGCACACAAGACTGAAAATAGCTAAATCCAAAGCTCCTCTGCCAGTTAGGCCAAGCCTTTGAATAGCACCTCGTCGATGAGTTTGTTTCGGGGAGGAAATGACTAATATAGTAATGCTTTAATTACAGTGCATCCAGACATATGCAGACATTTGAACAGGCACTTGGGCATCCTTCACAGCTCATCTGAATTATTCAGACACGTCTGGATATCCGCCGTGATACTGGTTGCCCTGGGGTCCAGGGTCCAGATGGAGTCAGGGTTTGGGTCCCCTGCTAGCGTCCAGGTGACCAAACAATCCCCCATATTTTGAGGCATTGGGGTGATTTGGGAGTCCTGTCAGTATGGCCTTGGTCTCAAACTAGCCCAAATTCTTGCCCTCAATGCAGATGCGTGCTCATGAGCCACTTCCAATTAACTCAGTAGCATGAACCTGTGGGTGCACAATGGATGAGATTTTTGCAGTGTCCACAAATGAGACAAATAAGAAAGAGAACAACACAAACACCATCATACAAGGCATTACGTGCTTGTTTGAATTTCACTGAACATGACGAAACGAGAGAGAATGAAAGGAGCACAGAAAGCAGACCGCAGCAATGGTGACACACCTCCTTCTTCACCCGTCCTCCCATTGCACGCACTTCATTGAGATCATCAATGCCAGTGTAAATCATAATTGAATCAGTGTCACCGTAAATGACCTGCACAGAAAGCCGGCCACAGCAATTACCCTCGTGGTCCAATCTGACAAAGGCCCGGAATCATCTGGAAACTGGCAGATGCAAGAGGGGATGGCAACCTCTGACATGCATCAACAACTGCAACAGGCGGGCATCGCAAATCCAAAAAATAATCTGTCCAACACACAGTTCTGGTAAACAATGTAATACTTTGTGGTTTGCAGTACTTTGCACGGCGTCCATCCATTACGGAGCCAAAAAGTGAAAGGATAATCACATTCCTCTACCTGTCAATGAATGTAATTTAAAGGATTTCATGTCTCAGTCCTTCTCCCGAGTCCCAGGCCCAGAGTCTCAATGGTCCCTGTACCATGAAAAGTAACTGATTGAGCAAGCCCAGCGACGGAAGTGCCAAACTTAGGTCCCATAGGTCGGTGGAGCCCCAGTAGGCCAACAGAAAGTTTAGGGTTGTTCGAAGTCAGGTAGACCCGGTGGCCGACAATAAAAATCCCAACTCCCTGTCTAAATTTAGCAGCAGCATCTGGTGGGTTCCGGAACTGGCAAAAATGCAGCCAACAGCCTTGGGAGACTGTTACCCGTTTGGAGCCGACAAAGATCTCAACTCAGCTGCTATTTATAGATCTACAGTGCTCCGAGGATTTCCCTTGTCGATTAGTGTGATGCGGAAGCTCTTCTGAACTCTTCGACCATACGGGTGGACTAGTTGGGGAGGTTGAGGAAGAAGCTCCCAAGGCAGCGACATAGCTATGGCTAGCAAGGAAGAAGACGACCACCATAGCTGATAGTGTAGCAGGAGAGAGGAAGGTGGGTGCATTCAGAGAGTGAGAGCGAGCTAAGTGAGGAGAGTGAGCGATACACGAGACGAGGGATAGCAAGGGGAGAGAGAGAGAGAGAGAGAGAGAGAGAGAGAGAGAGAGAGAGAGAGAGAGAGAGAGAGAGAGAGAGAGAGAGAGAGAGAGAGAGAGNGAGAGAGAGAGAGAGAGAGAGAGAGAGAGAGAGAGAGAGAGAGAGAGAGAGAGAGAGAGAGAGAGAGAGAGAGAGAGAGAGAGATTATCTGAGTGAGAGGGTTGACTGGCAGCCATAGCCGCTGTATTATGTGCTTGAACTTGAACAAGTTCGTGTTTGGGGAATAGTAGTTTGAGACTTTCAGCTGATGTCAATGTCGTTTCTCTGCTGTTGAGTGTTTCTGTGTGGACATCGGTGACACGCATGATTGCCCGTCAGCTTGAATTTGAGTTGGATTATTGCATAATGCTTTGTAGTTTGTAACGTTGTAGTGCTTTTGCAGGGAATGTCTTGAGGCAATTGATGGAAGGAAAATCACGTCCCTTTCAGTGCTGGGCCGGCAACCGGCCGGTTGAGCTACCCTGGTCCAACCGGAGCAGGACCAGCCCAGGGGGGGGAACCGGGAAACCGGATTTGAAAAAAAAGTGCCCAAATATCTTCCTTTTTTTTCTTTTTTCGGCAGATTCCGACTGCGCTCTTCAAGAGCTGTCAGAATCCGCAATAAAATTTTCAACGTGCAATATTTTTCAGGGGGCTTCCAGAGGGGGGCAGGGGGGGTTATTATTGACATATTCAGGCAACTATGGCTTTCACGGGGAGGGGTCAAGTAAGCCTGTTCACTTATCTGAACCCCCCCCCCCCTTGGCTGGAGCACTTTGTGGAGTGTGTCATTTGATATTGATACCCCACGAGCTGAACTAGATATGATGATGAGGTCCTTGCCAGAAGTTATAGCTCTTCCAGATTACAACTCGACAGCAGAAGAGTTATGGTTCCAGCTTTCAGCTCGTGGAGGCAGAGCGTTTTCTGTTTGTTGGTTTCTACATAAGGTGAGTTATCAGTCCGGAAGTATCTTGCCTGGTAGTCTGTCCAGATACATGTAGTGGAGAAAGGTCCATTTGAGATAGATAGAGAGAAGAATATAGCTTAGAGCTTGCACCTCGGACAGCTCTGACATCACGATTCCAAAGTCCGAACCCATAACTTTTTCCACAGATGGCAGGGACGTTGCAGAAGGATATAATCTCAGCAGAGGCTCATCACAAGCATAGTGTTCCCCTCGTGGCCGAGGGTAAAAGAGCATCAGATGTTGCCAATGGTAACTGGTCCGTTGGACCACAAGATGACAAATTGGAGAAGGGGCCTACCCGACCCACATCTTAAGAAAAATGTGTGGCGGTTCTCCGCTGCTGATCTGCAAAGATCAGCGGCGGATATCCTCTGCCCGTTTTCCTTAAGAAATGGGGTCCTGACCGATCTTTGCCGCTGATCTGCAACGATCGGCGGCCAAGATTGGCCATTTTTTGGACTTGAAAAATCCGGGCCTAGAGAACCCGGTTTCGAAATTGCGGGGCAGGGCCCACCCCCACGAGGCCTCGGGAGCACATACGCGCCGGCAAAAAAAAAAATCCAGGCCCCAGTGAAAATGCGCTGGGGGCAACCGGGAGGGAACCGGCCCGGGCCACCGGCCGGTCCAACCGAGAGGACCGCGGATGGGGTAGGGGTCCCCGGTCCATCCGGGGACCAGCCCTGGTTCCTTTAGTTTTCCACCGTCCAAGACTTCTAGTCCCAAAGTAAGGGAGGTACACACAAGGTCACATGGTCCCATGAAGGCATCTGTAGAGGTATGGAGGGAAAGTGGAAACAGGGATCCTGGATGAAGGAAAACTGGCAAAATGTTTCCAGGGAAATCGAGGAAGGAAAACAAGAAGATAGCATAACTTTACCCATACTAGTCTAATATCATAATATATAGTATCCTGAAATTTTCCTGGCAAGCTTTGCTGGATTTCACATTCCCAGCAAGGCCTAAAACTGAATACAACATCTAACCATGGTTCCCTTTCTCTTCCTAGCAGTAAGAAACCAGATGCACGTGCAGATCAGGTGCAAACCAGGTGTGGCGAAGGTGCAGAGTGGGTACAGACAGGGGCGGACGTGGTGTCAGCCATGTGCAATCAGGGACAGAGGCCAAAGCTGGGAGAGATACCAATGCAAGTACCACCCAGTGCCATAGTCCTGTGTGGGGTTTGAAACCGCTTACGGCTCTAATCATCCATGAACTAGCAGACATCTTGGCCATGAAGTTAATAAAGAGATTGAAAAAGCTTGATCTATGATACGGTCTCTACGATTTGCAAGATGATACCACTCTTTAAACGGCCATTCTAAAAAGAGGCGACAATAAACAGAGTGATGGATTCATAATCTTCAAATAACACAGAATGGAACAGTAGGTGTGAGAGATGTGAGGCATGGGGGTGACAAGGAGTGAAGAATCATTTACGCCACTACCGTCTTCCCCCAAACATAACGCACCCTAAAAATGAATGTATACAAACTATATTTCCGACCAGATACAGCCAAAACAAGGGTGCGTTGTGTTCGGGGGAAGACGGTAGTACTTCCAGGCCTCCTTTTTCCAAAGCTTTTTTTTTTTTTTTAACAAAAATCGCCCCCACCATGGGGGTGACAAGGAGTGAAGAATCATTTACGCCACTAGTACTTCCAGGCCTCCTTTTTCTAAAGCTTTTTTTTTTTTTTTTAACAAAAGTCGCCCCCACCAGTCTTAGTGGTGCTGATAAGAACAGACACCACTAACACCTGGGGAGAGGCTCCATCTAATGGTGGGGAGCATCACCTGCTGGAAAGCGGGTCCAGTGTCCTTTATACAAACTGAAATTGAAGTACAGCAGAAAACAATTGTGGGGTGTTCCTGTCAGCATTGATTGCCCTGGGGTCCAGGGGATTGACTGGGCAGGATATTGGGAGGAAGGGGGAACCTCTTCACCTTGAACCCGGCGCCAGATACACTGCTACACCCGAGTTCCTCCCTCCCCTATTCCCACAGTATGACGATCTGTTCTCCTTCACGAGGGTGTACTAAGAAAACACCTGCCAGCATTGATTGCTCTGGTGTCCAGAGGATTAACTGTGCAGGTTCTGTTGCTAAGATCTAATTTCTTCCTCCCTCCACTGCTTCCACGCACCCTGTCGTAGTTCCGCTTTCTGGGCTTGCTGTTGCTTAAAGGCTGCTACCTCCTTGGCATGAATTTATTCTGCTCCGTACCATTGCAGATCCACCACTGACAGTCCGTGGGGCGGGAAGGGGTCAGGGAACTCCGATGAGGGGCGCAGCGGTATTGCAGGGTCTGTCCTGATCCATTCCTTGAAACAAAGGGTGTAATCTCTTCTTAGCTCGCCTTGACTGTGCTCCGGGGGGACCTCTTCTTTCCTTCGAATATAGGCTATCCAACCCCCTTGCTCAGTCCCCAACCAGTCCCCTGAGAATTGTTTGATAGCTTGGGATATGTCCTTTTCTGTGTAAAGGCTGTCTAGTTGTGATTTTACCTTCGACCAATGTGCCCGCAGCTCATCTTGGACGTATTGTTTAATCATTTCCGTAACTTTTCTCCCTCTATTCTGACACCTTCGACCATTTTCTCCATAGTGCCCAAATGATTGCCCTCCTGCCTCTCTTAAACATGTTCTCTTCAAATGTATTGTGCGTGGGGGCGGATCAGGTTTCACATAGGAGAGCTCTCCAGTCCCAAGGCCACTGGGAATCAGTGTCCAGTTGTCTCCAGACCTTGTCCCGGCAGTGCCAGGTAAGAACCGCCCCCGGGCATTGCATGAAAATGTGTTCTATGGTCTCAGGAATCTTGCGGTGGGGGTAGGAGGAGGCTAGGCAGGATTTGCACCATGCACAGTGCGCCCAAAAAAAATGAATGAGCGCTGGCACATGCTCTTTTTTCCCCCTGGCACTGCCAGCCATTTAGCATGGATGGCAAAGCCCCGAAGGATGCCGTGTGTGCACAGCCTCATCAGAGAAATTTGCCTGTAAAAGGTGCTTGTGGTTTAGGGTTGTACATTTATACAAAAATAAATTCTCCTACACACTCAAGCCGCCAGAGACCTTCCCGCTTTAGTGCAATGTTTCAGGTGCCCAGGGCGCCCAGAAAGTGCCGCCTATGAAAATGTGACTCAGCCTTAAC